GATGGTGAATCCACCACCTCCCTGGGCAGCACATTCCAATGCCTGAGCACTCTCTCTGTAAAAAATCTCTTCCTAATATCCAACCTAACCCTCCCCTGGCAGAGCTTGAGTCTGTGCCCTCTTGTCCTGCTGCTGGTTGCCTGGGAGAAGAGACCAACCCCCACCTGACTCCAACCTCCTGGCAGGGTGCTGTAGAGGGATCTAACTTCATTAAGCAGCAATGTGTTGTTGTTTTTAAAGTTAAATCATGTTAAAGTGATGAGGGAAAAGTACCTTGTCATTTTAGTTAGAAAACTTTATAAAAAATGAAATTTCATCTTTTTTTTCCAGTGAGAAAAAAATGTATTTTAATAGGGCACATGGTCAGCATAAAATATTCTGAAGTAGAAGGAAATATTTTGAATCACAGAATCATAGAATTTAGGAGTTGAATGGACCTTACAGATTATCTAGTCCCAATCCCCTGCCCTGGGCAGGGACACCTCCTCACTAGATCAGGTTGCTCAAGGTTTGTTTAAAACCAGCAGAAATCCAGATGTATATTTAAACAAACAGCTCACCCAATGGTGCTCCTGAACTTTCCATTTGCATTATGTTTGCAGAGTTATGTGATCGTTTCCAGTTGTCTGGTAAACCAGTTGCTGTGCAGAGCACAGGTGTGAACAGGCAGAATGAGCCAGATCGTGGTCTCTGCCTGCCTGGGTCACAATGTCCCTCTGACCACGAGGGGTTGAGGTAGGGTTATCAGTCTGTGTGTTTAGCAAATATAACTTTCACTTTTGTAAGAGAAATAGTTTTTATTTTAGCTTTTATTTTTTGTTGTTGAAAGGATCACAGAAGCACCACAGCCTTACAGGGATAGTATAGACAATCCAGTGTTGTTCTTCTCTGCCTTCTTACACCATCTTCAGGATTATTTCTACAAACAGCATAACAAGGAGCCTTGAGCATAAAGATAATCCTGAAAGAGGGACAAGGCTGCAGAAAGGAGAATCAGTCTCACCTCTGCACTTCCCCAACATGACACACACTCGCTGAAGTTGAGGGATTCCAGTTTAAGAATGAAGTTCCAAAATGTAACATCATTTCTCAGATTCTAAACAAAGTCAAACCTATGCTACCTCCACTTTAGGACTTCTGCTCCAGGCAGAAATCTTCCTTTTGACCCCCCATTTCTAGAGCAGTGCAGTCTTTGTGCACACTAACCCTAGAGATAAAACCCATGGCTGCAATTCCACTGTCTGCCCTAAGACTTCATAGACCCTGAGTTCTCCATCTGATACCCTAACACCTTCTGTCTCACAAGGGCCAAACTTGACCTTGGTTGTTGTCTTCACCATTTCTGGGCAGTTGAAGAATCTTCTGGAAGAGATGTTCTTGCCACTTGCCTTCAGTGTGTGCCACCCCTGCAGACACACTGGAATCACTTGGGGTTTAGTGAACAGGATGTGCCAGGAGCCTCCTTAGAATCTCAGTCTTACTGCTGTGTGTTTATAATAAAGTTTTCTAGAATGGGGTTTAATTAATCTTAACATTTGTTCAGTCTTACTGCTGTGTGTTTATAATAATGTTTTCTAGAATGGGATTTAATTAATCTTAACATTTGTCCAAGAGTCACTGAATTAATAGAAATCAGAAAGCACAAAATGCAGTCAAAAGCCAAACTGTAAATCCAAAGTGTTTACATTTTTGCCAAGTATAAATTCATAGAGGATAACATAAGACTTGCATCTTCCTTCTGACGAATACTTCTATAAACTGTTTATATAATTCACAGTACTATCCATTATCTTTTTTCCAGACAAAAAGTCAAAAATGCCATAGCCAAAAAAGGCTAAAATTCCATGGAAGCCACTCTCAGAATGATACCAGGTCACTTGCACACCATTGTCCTCCAGTCTCTTCTTGTACAACAGTCCATCATCCCTCAGCACATCAAACTCACAGGTCACCATGTAGGTCTCAGGCAGTTGGCAAATAATGGAGTCTTCAGCTAAAAGTGGGGAAAACGTTAGTCCTAAAACTTCTTTGGCTACTTCATAGACTTCAGGTTTAAATGATGTGGGTTTCGGTGGTACATAGCCTCTAACCTTAAACTCCTCGGGAATAATGTCAGCACTTATCCACTTTTTATACTTGAGTCTCATGCTCTCAGGAACATGACAGTTCTGTATGATATCTTCAAAAAATGAGGGTTTTTTGTTAAGGTAACGAAAGCAGAAGTAGATCACCAGCTTCCGGAACAGGATGGGGACTGAAGCATTCTGCTGGTAGGAAGGCAACTGAAAATCCAAGCCCTGCAGTCCTGGGTAGAGCAAGACCTGAGCACGTACTTTAGGCAGATCCCGTGCATTCAGCAGCATGTGGCAAATAACTGTAGCAAAATTAGCTCCACAGCTGTCCCCACTAATGATGATGAGAGCAGGATCCACGTGATACTCTTCTAAATTCTTCATGAAGTATAGGGTGGCATTGAGACAGTCAGAGTACTGCCCTGGGTATGGGTGTTCAGGGGACAGACGGTACCTGGAATGTCACAGAGCTTGTGGTTAGTGTCAGAGGAGTTGTAAACATAACTCCACTTTAATTCCTGTTGTTTGAGATTGCTGTGGGAGTTCTGTCCCCTTTTTTTCCCCCCCTACATTGTAAAGATTATATTTTTTTAACCAGTGTAGCCTGGAAAGCCAAACTAATGGTACTGCAGCTATTTTAGAACACTTTGCCTGCAAGTACGTGTCTCAATTCAATGAAAGGTTTAAGTGAAAAACAGGGAGCAACAAGCTAAAATAGTAAATATTTTCAGCATGTTTTTCAGCAATGTTTCAACTGCAAGCTCTATTGCCATAAATAGTTCTATGGAAAAGTGGCACTTACCCAACAGACACAACCACCGAGTTGCATTTTTTGGCCATATAGCGGCATAGTCTTTCAAAGGATCCTAAAGAGAAAGTTTATCAGAAATGATGATCTACAAATGAAAGAGCCTTTTGAAATGAAAATATGGATCCCTGAACATCTGCTGTGTGCAAGGCACTGCAACATGAGATCAATGAGAAAATTCTGCTGTGCAGTGTGGTCTGTACACCTTAATGTGTTTCCTGGCTGTTGGGGCAGCACATAAGAATGTAAGGATGGAAGTCCTGGGGAAACCCAGAAATCTGTCTGGGCTGGTCTCACAGCTCAGATGATGGTCAACCAAAGGTGTCTAAGGAGAGCATGAGCTGAGGACAAGCACAGTAATAAGGTGCAGTAATAAGCATGCAAGAAGTTGGAGCTCAGGGCACTCCTTTAAGACATAAATTATGTCTTTATGCCTAATGCCCTTGATTAACATTTCATCACTGAATTACCAAACCACTTCTTGATTTTAACATTAGCAGCTTTGTGCAGGGACAAGTTCCCTAACTTGCTTACAGAGGTGTGAAGAGGCATTACTGTTGCTCCTTTTGTACCTGGCAGTCACTACTTCCATTTGGTGACTCTTGGACTGTAAGAATAATTACAAAACCAGGTAATCGTTCCTGTTTGACTTTCACTTCTCATGATTTTGTGGACATTCAGTGTATCTGTCTTCATCTGTCTTTTCCAGCCTGAAGAGTCATAGTCTGTTGGTTTATTCTCTGTACAGAATAATTTTGTCACCTATGCAGCCTCTCTCTGAGGCTTTCCAGTACTGCTCTGTCTTTTTGAGGAATGGGAACAAGAACTATAACCATTATACTATATATATATCATATATTTACCTTCCAGATACACCATGAATTTGTTACAATGGCATAAAGAAGTTTCTTGTTTTGGCCTTTCCTGATGATAGTCCCTAGCACTTTATTTGCTACTGTGCACTGTGTCAACACTGTCAGTCAATTTTCTGCCGTAATCCCAAAATCTCCTTCCTGCTCCTGCTTGGAGCCTTGAAAAGCTGTGGCTACCCCATCCCTGGGAGTGTTCCAGGCCAGGTTGGATGGGATTTGAAGCAACATGTGCTAGTGGAAGGTGTCCCTGCCCATGGCAGAGGGTGGAATGAGATGAGCTTTAAGGTCCCTTCCAACCCAAACCATTCTGTGACTCTGTGCATGAGGCCTGACTTCCACTTGCATTGGATTTTAATGCCATCCATTTGTATGGATTTTATGGAATAAGTCATATGTATCTGTCCACTGATTCTGTTCTTCATTGTAGCTGCTGCTAATTTACTGGTTGCAGACAGTTTCAGGATACTTGATTATTGCAGAAAGCAGGTCTAGGCTGAGCTCTGTATTCTGCATTTGAAGGTACATTTCCAGAAGAAATGGAGTATAAAGGAGGAGGGAACACACATGGATTCCAACTCTTACTCCAGGACTGTTGCTACACATTACTTTAAGCAAGCCAGTAGTTAAGGTACAAGAACACCCTGTGAACTGAATTTCCTCACAGTGATTTAAGTGTTACATGCTTTGCTGCCCCAGCAAACTACACCTTTCTCAGAAGAGCAGGAGGAGGAGCAGAGTGTCTCTGCTGATAGCTGACAGCTCAGTTAGGGGTTTCTGGACCACAGGTCTGTAGCCCAAGGGAAGCTGAGATGTGACTCCCCTTAACGTGAGACTATTCATTCCACAAATGCTTTTCCAGTTTGTAGTGAGATTGCAAAGACTGGTGTCATTGGGAGGGACAGGGCAGACACTGAGTGACACATGGCTGCAGTTAAAAATGTTGAAGGTTTGGATTTGACTTGGAGAGTAAAACCTGCCCATTTCTTACTAATGCTCCCGAATGTGCCAGCGCCTCCATGAAAGTACAGAATTCCTCTTCTCTTCCCACTGGGTGGGTTTTTGGGCTGATAAATCCTCAGTGGTACCTCATCTACTCTGAGATCTTTGATAAGCAGTTTGGAATCTCTCCATGGGGGAATTCCATTAAACAGTACTCGCAGTACGGTTAAATCACTGCAGATCCCCAACTTCTCCAAAATCTTTCCCTGTTGGAAGAATTTGGAAGAAGAGGATTAATGTAGGCTCGTTCCTGAACAGACAGAACTATTCTACATACATACAGCTCAATAGGTACAGGATACATCTAATTATTTGCTTTAAATCTTCATGTGAAACAGTTTTTCAACATAAAGTGGCTGCAGTTTGACTGAAAAATCTAAAGAAGCTTTTCAGATTAATCCTATTGGTTTTATGAGTTAATTTGACATGTTTGGGTTCATATAGCAATGCTTACAGGCTTCAAAGGAGTGAATTGCTGGGGTTTTTTTTTCCTATTTCTTAAGCCATTATCTTCCAGCTCCCAAATATCCTGCCCAAATGAAAGTGAAATCCCCAGTGTTAAGAAAGTGAACTTACCAAGACCATGGCTGCAGTCATCAAGGAATGGTAAAAACGAAGCTTTAGAGGTTCCCCAATTCCAGGTGGCAGTTCTGAACTGAAAAAATCATATAATACCCCTATGAAAACCACTGCTGGTAGTACAACAGGAGAAATAAAAACCATTCCTATAATTGCTAGAGCTCTATAAACAGATGCCATTTCGCTTCAAGAGAAGTGAAGGCTGAGTACACTGGCTTAAGCTTTGCCTTCAAGTGTGTCTGAGGTGACTTCACAGGAGACTAAGCTCTCAGGTCATAAGCAGAAATAAAAATTTATTAGTGTTGCAATACCCTAATTTTCTCCACCCTTCTGCTTGGTAATGATATTACTGGCAATACTTCCTTACGGTGAGGACAGGGCAGGGGGAGGTTTGTACCCTTTCCAAAAGGTGGAATTCAAAATCCATGGACTTACCAGATGGAATTGATTGATACCATTGAGCCCATGGAATTGATTGATACCACGAGGTAGCAGAAGGGCCCTGATTTGAAGATCTGTTTGGTTTGTTGTGCATTCATGGACATTCCAGCTGCAGTGTTAAATTTGAGTCACATGGGGCGACTTGCAGTTGGCCTCAAGTTGTAAATATATACTTCTCTGTGAAGAAAAACTGTCAAATCCACATTTTTTTATACCCTGTGTTTCACAGAGGAATTCACAGACCTATTCATGCTTTAATTTTGGTTTCAATACAATCTGGGATATGCTCCAGCAGAAGGATTTGCTCTGTTTAGGTGATGTGTGTGTACATTATGCACAGAAACTTTTCTACTACTACATAGATACTGTCCTACTACTGTGGAATAGGAGTGCAAGCAGAATCAGTGCAAGCCCTAACATACAGGAAGGTCTTTCCAGACACATGGAGATGTGTTTGTAGGTTCAAGCCACTATTGTTTCCATCACTGATTAGTGAAAAAAAGTGTCCTATTCATTGTCATCCTTGTTTGTAGCTCAATGCAAAGGCATCATGAAAACATGTGTGCTACTGAGGGATGATTACACTTGGTGGCAGTTGTTTGGTGAAATCATTTTTTCTGGTTTGTATTCTTCTTGCTACAACTCCGTTTTCCACACTATTTAAAATTTACAGCTCCCAAACCTTTTTAGTGGCTTGGCTTTCCAAGTGGAATTCCAGTCTGAAAACAGATTTAATCCTTAGCTTCATTAGCACAGTATTAAAGCAATACTGACAGCTGATTTGCACAACGTTGGCTTGGGAAGATAAGAATGTGTGGGATAAAACCAAGGCTTGTGAAACAGGCAGGTCAACAGCTGCTCACAGGAAGGACTTTTTCTGTGTTGAGGTTGGCTCATTTTGGGCACAAAGGTAGGATATGGGGAATGTCAGGCAGTAGAGCATGGAACCAAACCCAGATACTCCTGGTCAGTGCTCAGCCTGTCCTGAGCTTATCAACTCTTCTCCACAGGGCTCTCAGCACTGCTGGGACATCCCAGTGATGCTCATGCTCATTAGTTCTAGAAATAGTTTCTATGTAGTGTGATGTTACAGCACAGTCTGTGGCTTTTGTTGTTTGTTTGCCATATAGCCCTGTCAGAACAGCACAGTTCTCACTAAATGCTTATTCCTGATGGCTGTGCCATCAATCCAGATAGCCTGAAATATATTCCTACATGGAGATCAGCTCTGAATATTGTGTTTCAGCATTCTGGATGATTTCTTGTATTTGAATCCTCAGAGGAGGCAATTTCTGTGCTTTCAAAAGAACATGTAAGCAAGAATAATAAATTCCTAAAGGCACTTAGTACTTCAGTGACAGTGAATGAAACTTTTAAAGGCAACCAGAATGAACTAAACACCTGATATTTGGAATGGTCAGCTCAGATTATGCAAGTTTCATACCAAGGAGCACATGTCTCTCTTCTGTAGCTGTATGGCACAAGACTTTTCTTCACCTCTTCAGTGAGTCAGTCATTATTGGCCTTTAATTCCAAACACCTCACAGATACCATCTCTGTTTTGAAACCTTGATGGATCTGAGAGTGGAAGGAATATTGCTTGGCTGTCTATTTTGATTTAAAACTAAATTGACAAAGGGACAGTTTGGGGCTTGGTTTGTTTGCTTTTTGATGTTATGCCCTGGCAGTTGTCATCACTAAGAGTCTGTTGTACAGTTGTGGCAATCAGAACAAAAATCCTTCAGTTCAGCACCTCGTGTGGTTTCCCCTCTTTGGTATTGTAAGGTGCATTAAGGATCTCATATGATTCTTTATTCTTATGAAACACCTACACAGAGGTCCCCAAATTCATACTTTATCCACTGAACTTAGTGTTGAGGAGACTGATGTGTTCAGTGAATCACTTGGTGAGTACAGAATCTAAAATAATAAATTCTTCCAATTGAGTAAATTCTTCCCATTTTTCTCATCAGCAAACCTCTGTTTATGTAAGGGGTTGGTCACCTCTAAAATTCATTCTTGTCTTAATTTATATTTCTAATGGCCACAGTAGTGTTGGGAAGGCAAAGAATGGTCCTGATACCTATCCAATGAATTCTGGTATTTGCTAGTTTTCCCCAGGCTCAACCTATGGGAGTTTCAAAGGCTTCTGTAGCTTTGTAGGCTGAGAATGTGTAAAACTCATCACCTTCACCTCAGTTAGCAGCAGAAGAGGCAACATCTGTCAAACCCAACCCTGAGGAAGGCAGAAGGGTTGGGGGAGCTGGTGCTGATGAGTTGTATGACTGTCATGTGTTACTGCTCTTCATGCAAAGTGAATCTCTACAACATTGCAAAAACATGTCAGTTCTGATTGCAGCCTGTTTCATGCCACTCTCAGCCTCGAGTTAGCTGACTGAGGGACTGTGTGACAGGAAATGCTACGCTGAGTAACTGCAGCATGGCAAGGTAGTCAGCTGTGATGACTGGGGTATTCATTCCAGCAGGTACAGCCAAGCTTAATTACTGATGGAAGAAGACAGGGGAAAAATAATGGACTCCAAAAAACCAAACCAAAAAAACCCAGAAGTAATAGCTTCTGATACAGTCCTTTATTTATGTTTTTCATGTTCATTTCAAAATGAAACACTCTGGTACATATAATTTGCCTGGCTTTTAAAAATTATTCTTAGTATTTTCTCCAGGTAATATAGTAGGACAGTTAGACTCTCTAGAGTAGTTTGACTCTTTGGTTTTATCAAGTAGAGCACGTGAGGAATTTGCCATCCTTCAGGTCACATTTCTTTTCTTGAAGTTTTGTAAACAAATGACTGAAAGCATCTCAGACCTCTTCATACCTTCAAGCCTGAGTCTTCCAGTCTGTGAGATGGATTTCATACACCCTTCACAGTGACAAGAAGAAACTTTAATTGATAGCTTAGTACCTGCTTTACCATACTGGTTTTTTAAGGGGCTGTGTATTTGCTTCATCTATCTCCTTCATTTTTCTGCCTCCTACCTACCTTCCGGTGTCCTCCCTTTTTCTTATCTCCATCTCCCCACCCAAATTAGTTGCTACTCCCTGTGTGTTTTGCTCTAACCCACGACTGAAATCCATTTTCCACTTAGTCTGCCATAAAGCTTTACTTGAACCTTTCCTTTCTTCCTCTGAGTTATTCTCTGAAGCCTGTCCCTTCCAAATGACACTTAGGCTAAACAGCTGCTAACAGATTCTGGAGCAAAAAGCTGAATGAACGTAAAAAATATGACAAATATTGTATATTAGCACTCAACAATGGACATTCAGTTCTTGTGCTGTACCATTCAGAGCAGGTAAAGGTTTGAAATGCTGATACAACAGGTTTTTTTAGGCAGCATTTGGGAATGTGGGTGAATGTTGTGTGTATGTGTCTCTGTAGCTGTGCAATTCTGTTTCTCAAAGTGGATGAATTCTGTTCCACACAAATGGATTCCAACCAAGCTGGTCTGGAACATCCACCTGAGATTTCATGGCAAGTCAACACACCAAAATGTAATCTTACTAAGTCAGAAGTCATTTGAATGGAAATAAAATAACTACAACTGTCCTTATTTTGCCCTGGTCTCAGTACTCCAAATATTTAGATTAGAATTTTCTTCCCTTTGAATCACTGAGGTAATGGGCAAGCAGAGAAGGGAGACTGGCAGGAATAAAAGCAGCCACAGCTTGCAAGATTGTGCCTATTTATTCCAGGAGCAGTACAACATAGGCGGACACTAGTGTTAAATCCTTTGGAGTAAATAAGATTATTTACAAATAATCGAGCTGATAAATTTGGAATGTTTGCTTATTGCCAGTGTATTTAAAAACACTTGCTGTGGTGTGTGACTTTTAACTAGAGTGGTACAAGGAGGTGACATAAAGACAGTGAAGCAGGAGGTAACTGAATTTGTAGACTCCTGGAACAAACACTCCAAACTCGATGATTTTAGAACAGGTAATCACAAGGTGTCATGGCTTAAAAATGTGCTCTGTTATTGCATGGTCCTCCATAGCTTCAGGCTATGGAGGCCTAACGACAGGCTCAAGTGAATATTTAAATCCAAGCCTGGTTCAGGTGAATATTTAAATCCAAGCCAGAGACCTCTGGGAATGTCTTTGAGGTGCTCGTTTTGTGTGCCAGGGAACAAGGAGGTTTGCCAGGCTGTTACCAACTCAGCTGTGTGCTGACATCTGCTGAGGGAAAGCTGCACAGCACTTTGCTTTCCCTTCCTTCATTTCACATCTTCCTGCAGCACAGAGCTGCTCAAAGAGGGCCCAGACCTCCCTGCACACTGAGTTTCCAGCATTTTAGTAGTAATCAGGTCTTGAGGGTGTTCTGATCTGCTCCTGAAGCCTGTCGTGTCTGATCTAGTGCCTTTGTGCCAAAGTGGAGAGACACCTAAAGAAATGTGGCTCATGGCCACGTTATTTGGGTTAATAACTCTGGATGGTCCAGCCTTGTCCACACTCCTTGCTGCCTGGAGAGCAGCATGGCTTGGGCTGTGTCTTCCCTCAGTGCAAACTCTAGAGCAAATCATCACCTCAGGCACATATAATAAAACCCAAACCCATTACACTGCTCTACATTGGCCTCAGAACAGAGTCATTAAACCATTTACGGACATTTCAGGCAGAACTTGAGTACATTTCTAAGAAAATAGTCTCACAGTCTTGTTAGGTCGTTTTATTTTCTAGTGTTTTACTTACTCCTTCAGCTCTTGTTGTAAACTGTTTAAAAGCGTTATGAACTTTCTTTGTTTATATTTTCTTTCTCCTTCATTCTCCTTTCCCTGTGATGGCACAGTCCCTCCACAGCAAAGTCCTTCCTGCCTCAGGCAGTTCAGGCCTACACTTATTGCAAACTCTGTGTGAAGGAATTGATAGTACTTTCTATGCCCACATGTCTTTTATCTATACATAAAATGTATATGCATGATTTTTTTTAATGGATGTTGGTTTCCTTAAGCAATAACCTCCACATCTCCAGGCCTAACCCTTTATGCTCCTCTCTCCTTTCCTTCCCCTTCTTTGAGGGATGTCATTATTCACATTTTCCCTGCTATTTTCAGTTCTCTTTAAGCTGGTCTCAACTTCAGCTGTCACTAGGTACATTTCAGAAACCATTACACATGCTCATTATCCACTGTACCTCTGCATTCATTCCCTGTTACCTGACCAGGGTTGTCCTCAAATGTAGTTTGTGTTTTAGGATGACCAGAAAGGTATTGAAACAAACCACATTGCAAAACCCTGGCTATGGAGACAAGATCTTTAACAGCTACAAGTGAAAATTGAAGAGGTGGTAAAGGCAGGAAATGTAAGCTAACCTGATGTTGCCTTTCCTAAGAGAAAATTAAGTAAAAGCCATGGCAAAATTGATCCTAAGAGAAAATTAAGTAAAAGCCATCACAAAATTGTCTTATTGGGTAAAAAGAAATCAGGTGCAATGAAGAAATATAAGTTGATGGTTTAAGGAAAGGACAAATGAGGATTTTTTTAAAAGTCATTGTAAGCAGTAAGAGAGGGGAATAAGGAAAAGAAGAAATGGAATTTTACATCAATCGTAGAAAACTTACTATCTTTTCCAGGCCTTTAATTCCAGATTGGAATGCTATTGGCCTACCAAATAGAGCTAAGAACATTGTTCCATGGATTCCCTCTTGCAGATGGCACCAGGTCACTTTGATACCATGATCCTCTAATCGTTTCTTGTACAGCAATCCATCATCTCTGAGCACATCAAATTCACAGGTCAAAATGAAAGTCTCAGGGAGCTGAGCAATGACACTGTCCTCACATAACAGTGGGGAAAAAACAGGGTCAAACATAATCTTAGCCTTTGTATAGGTTTCTTTTGAGAATGGATGTGTCGGACTTGGTTTGTAACCTCTTGTTTTAAACTCCTCAGGGATGTGGTCAGCACTCACCCATTTCTGATACTTCAGTTTCATATCCTCTGGAAGGTGGCAACCTTTAAATACTTCTTTGATAACAGACAAGTCTATATTAAGATATTTCAAGCCAAGAACAACCGTCCGTTCCCGTAGCAGAACAGGGATATTTGCATTCTGCTGGTAAGAAGGCAAATCAAAGTCCACACTCTGGAGGAAAGGATAGATCAGGATTTGTGCTCTCAGCTTGGGGACATCTCTTCTGTACCCCAGGGCTTGGCTAACAGCTGCAGTGAGTGCACCTCCACTGCTGTCTCCACAGATGACAACACGGGAAGGGTCAACTCCATGGTCCTGTGCAGTCCTCAGGAAGTGGATGGTGGCAGTGAGACAGTCCTCAAACTGGGCTGGGAATGGATGTTTAGGGGCTAAACGATACCTGAAGAGGAGTGAAAGTGTTTTAGCATAGTCATATGGAGTGAATGATGTCTTGTCATTCATGTATTTCTCTCTGGAGACAGGAAAATATTGTGAGATTCTAATCACAGCAATAGAATTGATCCAAATTAATGCTTTTGATGAATTGTTTGCTACCACTCCTTCATGTTTAGGAGAGTCAGTACACTGTTCTATCTTTGCAAAGAACACCTTTATCTATCCTTTAGGTGACAGAAGGAACTTGCAGAGTTATTTCATCGTATCAGAGAACGTTAAGGGATTGGAATGGAGCTTAGAGGTCATCCAGCCCCAACCCCTGCCCTGGGCAGGGACACCTCCCACCAGAGCAGGTTGCTCAAGGCTTTAACCAACCTGGCTTTGAACACTGCCAGGGTTGGGGCAGCCACAGCCTCCCTGGGCAACCTGTGCCAGTGTCTCATCACTTTTCACAGGAAAAAATTTTGGGATCAGACACATAAGGCTGGTGTGTCTGACTCAGATATCAGCAATTCTACTTAGAAACTGAAGTGAACATTTCCCAGCAAATTGTTAGAAAATATGAGCATAGCAAATTGATAAATAATATGTGAAAGGTTTTCAGTGGATTTCTCTAAACTGAACACATGCAATAGTTACTGAATTTACTTTACAAGGAACCTGATGTGCAGCAACGGCTTACAAACCCAGGAGGAGGCACAAATTTCTCATACTGTGTCTGGAGTGACTCCACTTACTCAACAGCTACCACCACAGAATTGCTCTTCCTCGCCAAATACCGACAGGTTCTTTCGTAGGCCTCTGTGAAACAAAACAGTTCAATGAATTGCAACTTGCTGTAGAAATATGTTGAATGAAATTAGTCTGAATTTCTTATCCCCTATGTGTTACTAACGC